TATTTATGTTAAGTGGCAACACAGAAATTGGCCAATAACTTACTTTTATATAAATGAGGATGCATGCAAGGGCCTTCTAGATGCTCAGTGCTGTGTGAGGTACACGGGGTGAAGGACATGGTCCCTACCCCACCCCAAGGTCAGACATTAGACACAATTGATGCTGTCATGATCTATACCACTATCCGTGGCCTTTATTGAAGCCAAGAGCCAAAGAACAAGGGACAGGATCCATTTATTCCTCTAAGTCAGTGTTTGGCAGCATTTTAAGGAATCAACACTAAATGTTTTGTCATCATTGAGGACCAGTCAAGCTCCAAGCAATTGTCCGTCTTAGATTAACAATGTGGTTGAAGCAATGCCCATCTTCCTTTCTGTGGGAAGCTGGTATGGAAGTCTGAACGGAGGAAGATTGATTTTGCAGAGAGCAGCAACTTTGCTTAATAATGACAATGATCTTGAAGTCGCACCAGTTAACATTTTCAGAGATGTGCCTCCTTGGCTCCCCATTTCTGTAACATGTCACCTCCATGAAGCTGACAGAGGAGGTAGTTGGAACCCAGGACTCATCCGCTATGGTAACACTGAGAATGCATGAGCAATTCCAGCCAAGGAAATTTTACTAGCATCTCAAGTCCTTTGATACCACACAGAAAACAGACGGAGAAGCACCACGAAGGATGAAGAGAAAAAGTGAGTTCCTATTTATTTTCTGAGGGTGAAGGATGTTTGCAGCAACCGTACCCTTTTTGTGGGGCTCCCCATAATCCTTGAAGGGCAGTTGCTCCCAGCTTCTGAAGCCTCACAAGATCCTGTCGTAACTCATCTCTGTCCTGCAGCTACATGAGCGTAGGCTGAGTACCACGGGTGAGGTATTAATCCTTTTTATACCTCAGCCTCCTTCTGTAGGAGGACTCATAACTGCATCTCCCTCCTAGACGATGGAAAAGATTTAACAATGAGCTATTACTGGTTTATGTTGCGTGTACAAGGTATCTTAACAGGGAGAAATGGGGCACGTTTTTAAAGACGCCATTAACAGCGCTGTGCTGGTCCCATCAACTTTCTTTTTGTGTTTTGTTTTTCCTGTCGCTCACATAGGAACCCACTCATGCTACGGATAAGATGAAGGAGTCAAGATACAATAGAATGCCTAGACAAGTCACTTTTGGGGGGTCAGGAAGACCCACATTTCTCTAAGGAAAGTCCCTTTCTCTCCGTCTCCCTCTTGGGATGCTCGTGGGCGGGGCTGCTGCCTGGGCTGGCTTTGCTTTGGTGATCTCATCTACAAGAGCAGGCAGCCAGGCTGGCTGGTTGCTAGAAAGCCTTTAGAAAAGGACACGATGCTTTTCCGCAGCTGTGATGTGAGTGGCATCAACAAGCTATTGACCGAGTCAGAAAGCAACTTGACGCTAGCTTCGAGGCCTCTGGTCTTCTGTGGGCAGCATCACCCTTAGCTAGTGTAACCATAACTGGGGTCCCATAGACAGAGGGGCCACCCGCTCCAGAGTGAGACCCGCCTGCGACTCTGGTGATACAGGCTCAGGATGAGCTTGACTCAGGTCAACGTCACCCTGGTCAGCGACCAGAAAAACAGCTAAAGAGGAGACAACAACCCGGGGGCCCAGTTCACTGCAGGGGAAGAGGGGTGTTAATCACTGAGCAGCAGACAGCTAGTGGTGGCCAGTGGTGAGGCGGAAGGATGTGAACAAGATCCTCTGCATGCTTGTGAGACCAGAAAAATCCCTGGTGGTGCATCTCGCCATTCTCCAGCCTTAAGTGGAAGAAGAGTCTGGCCCACACTCACATCTGCCCTCTAGGTGGATTTGTCTTTGATCCTTTTCTCCATTCGGGCTGCTTGCACTCTGCCTCACAAACATCTGTGCAAATCCACAGTGTTTTTTCCTGCCCATCTGTACCACTGAAATCTCTAATAATTAATATCCTATCTTCAGGTTAATGATTTTTGTTGTTGTTCGTTTGTTTGAACAAACAACCGGGGGGGGGGGGATGAGATATTTGTTCTGGTCTTATTCCTTACAGTAATGGCTTCCACTGGTATCCATTTTGTTGTGAGCAACAGTATTTTGTTCTACTTTGTGACTGAATAATATTCCATTGTGCATATAGACTGGGTCTTTTGGACCATTTCAGCTGTGGGCAAGCCCTGTGGCTCAGTCTATGACTCGGCTGTTATGAATTGTGCTACAATAAATATGACTTGCATTGCTTGTTAACTGAATGATCCTCCTCAGGCCACACTGGCTGTTGGTCTTTGACGATAGTACCACCAGATGTGCTCACTGATGTAAAGATACAGTGTGTGGAAGGCCAAGGGGAACCCAGAGGTCGGGTCACTGCTTTGAAAGGAGGAGTCCAGGCTCTCATGGGGCAGCCTATAGCAGGGTGTGGTCTTGTGTGGGGTTGTGCCCTCTCAATGCTTCTGTTTCTCTTATTACTGGGAAAGAAGACCTCCCCTTCCATCTCTGGGTACCATGACTGAGAGTCTCACCAGATTCTTTCCAGGGAAGAACAGAGGTTCCTTACAGGAACACCAGCGTTCTGACCTTAGAAGATGGGAGAAGACTGCTCAGGGCAGCACCGCCATGCTCACCCCCACCCCACCCCTGGGACCGTGGGTGGGTCCTACCTAAGAGCAGACTATGCTGCAAAGACACAGCAGGTTTCCTCTGCTGTCTCCCAGACTGCTGACCCTCACAAGTACCTATTGACTGAGTCTCTTGTAGTCAAAGCCAGAACATGAGTGTGGCTTCCTTTGTCCTTGTTTCGTCATTGCCCACTTGGCCATAGCTAGCAAACCTACCAGATTGACGCTGAGATTCTAAGTCTGGCCTTGATCCGCACGCCAGCAGCAGGCTCTTTTGGAAACTCATAAAAGCCGAGGGCTGTCACATGACAGCGAAGCAGAGACGCAGGGGTGTGTTTGGAGAAGGACAGTACCTTGTCCGTGTGCATTGACGACAGCCATAGATGGGGTTAAAGGGACCATGCACAGCCCTCATCTCTGCCCCAGGCTTCGTGCAGGATCAGCTTGCGGATGACCTCAGACTTGACATTCAAGAACCTCAGATTCACACGTTTGAGATGGCTGTGAAAGGAGGGTTTGTCATGATCCCAGAGGCCAAAATAAGTGCCACCCCCACCTTTTGTCGAGGTATTTTATCTCAGCAGCAAGAAAGTAGCTAAGACGATAGGGCTCTACAAACAGAATGTTCTCCAGCAGGAACGTGTTTCCTAACCCCTGCAGTGTCTCTGGGTATTGAACTTTGTGAGCCTCGGGCAACTTCCTTAACAGCTTCACATCAGAATCACCACAGGAGGAGTGGAGAGCTAAGACTCGGCTTCTGCTACAGCTGCTAATACTGTTACAGCCGAGGACTGCTGGTGTCGACGAATCCCTGCTTCTCCTGAGTGGCTCAGATGCTACAAGGGTGATAGCTATCACAAGTTTACTTATTTATTGCCAATGGACACGGACCACTGGCCGCAACTGCTAGGCACTCAACAGAACTCCCGGACTGTGTCTTTACTTCCGGTTTAACACCATGTTCTGGTTCCAGAACACAGTCATGTCACCAAGGTTAAGAAATAAAAGTGACCTGAAGAAGCAGGAGGCAAATCGTGCGATCCCTTTGTTTGGCCATTTTATATTTATGAAGCACCTACTACGTGATGAGCGTCAAACAACCTGCTCTATGACTCACAGTGTGCACCCACTAGGAAAGGAGTCTGTCCAAGAGACCCTGATCCTACTCTTAAATTAGGGCTGGGTTGTGGTGGGTGCCGGCTCAGCATATGTGAGGCCATGGGCTCCATCCTCATAACTTGAAGAAATAAAAATGAAGCAAAATAAAACTCAAAGAATTTGAGGCTACAAGGAAAATACAGTAGCTTTTGCCAGAGCTCTGGTTGGGTTCTGGGATCTACAATTCTTGTCGTTCATTCAGAACAGCCGTAGCTACTCAGGGGATCTAGTGTGACATTGGTTTACATGGTTGTATTGCGTGATAATTAAAGCAGGGCCATCAACTGCCCCTGTGCCAACATGGGCAGAAGGCAGAGTTTTCGGGGGCAGGGAATAGAAGCGAAGAGGGCATTCGGGGTAAGGAGCAGAAAGTGCAGAGATGCAGATGTGTGAACACTCCTCAGAACCGCAGAATTCCAGTTCCGGCTGGAAGGAGAAGCCGAGTGCGGATGACACCCTGTCAGACACCTTTCTTGTGAAAGCGGCAGCAGTTCTTTAAGCTGCGGGTGATAATGCCTATGAGAATTCTATCATCATGTGTTAGTGTGACTGACTGCATTCCTATCGCGCCTTATAATAAAGACTCTATTAGATGTGATCTGATTGTCCCCTTTCTCTGGCTAACCCCGAGGATGAGAAAGATCACAGCAATGACCTTTGTTTGCTGTGGAGCAGAGAAATCCGATTTGTTGTTTTTCCATGTCAACCCCACTTCAAGCCACAGACGCAGTGTAAGAGCCCGAGTTCTCCAGATCCATATCCCTCGTGTTTCCTTTCATAATCGCCCATGTGTACATGTTTTCTTTTTAGAGGTTGTATGAACACCCAGTAGCCTGCTTTCTTTCCTCAGCTGCGCCTGTCAAAGTCGACACTCTGTAGAGCTGAGTGTAGGCCAGCTTGCTCTCTGCATTCAGAATGTCTTGTGATTTAAAAGTAGGGGAAACGTTGTTCTTTGAAATACTTTTTTAAAAGATTCAACATGACAATGTCTTTTCCGGGTCTATCTTCATTTGTCTCGTTAAAGGTGTGTCTCTTGGGTTTTCCTCTTCAAGAACATAATGACTTGGTAACAAAATGTTACTGGTCTGTTCTTTTCTGGAAGCCACTGGCGTGGTGACGAAGCTTTGCCTAGTAGAGTTGCCAAGGGTTCTACTAAATCAGGCCTCTTGTAGCCCTCTGTATTCACCAGATGAGCAGCCGATGACCTGAGTTTGTTCTGGTTTTACCAACGCAGGACGATCTCTGCCAAAACTCACCACCAGGCCGTTAACTTCAACATCTTTGAGGGCATGGTTTGCCACGGGGTTCCCCTGGTGACTATTTCCCGAGGCAGAGTGGTGTATGAAGCAGGTGTTTTCAGTGTCGCAGCGGGAGACGGGAAGTTTATTCCACGCAAACCGTTTGCTGAATACGTCTACAAACGGATCACGCAGCGAGACCAGGTGAGCCCCACCGCAGCGACCAGTGTCGTTAAGCTGCGCTGCCCTGGGTGTCAGGTTTGTTATTTATTGCTCATGATGGTGGCATCATGTCACAGTAGGTTCAACACACTCCTGGGCTGTCAAGATTGGCCAGGGAGCACAGGCACATCCCAGCTTTCAGTGAAAGAGGTCCTAGCTGGATGTTTGCAGATGTGTCCCTTAGGGTTTCCTTTTTTGGGGGGCTAGAGGGGGGAAAGACCTCTTTACCATTGTGACAGTCAGTGTCTTCCAAGAGCCAGGTCACATGCATCAAGGCACTGGGGAGGGGAGTTGTTGGCGATAACCATGAGAGAAAGGAAAAAGGATCTGAGAAACACTGAGAGCCAAGAATGCAATTCAAGAATGGCCCACGAGAGGAAAGAATACAGGAAAGTGAGGGACACATTCTAGATGGCTGTAGTTCAGGGAGGATCTGAGACACCTCTGAGGTTCCCAGATCCAGATGGCACTATCATTGGCTGGGAGCTGCCATGAGAGGCATGGTCTGGTGTCTGCACACCACTGGGGGTCTTACCTCAGCAGTTACGGCTTGAAGAATGGTCCCCCCTTTAGCTGAACATCCACAGGGTGCTTCTCAGGGTGACCACCAAAGGTGGAGTTTGGGGCAGGGAGATCTGGATGGGAATACTCCCTGTTGCCTAACAGTATGGCCAGAGCAAGTCCCTTGTCGTCTTTGGGCTCTGCTTTCTCACCTGGACATTAAACATTTCCACCCTCAAATAAGATTTTTAAATGTCAGAATTAGTAAATGTCAGTCCCGTCTCTTTATTTTCCCATAACTGATTCTGTAACAAAGGCCTACGATCTTTGTAACAACTCAGTGATAAAAAAGAGGCCTTTTTGATTTATCTTGCATTTCATGTTTTGTTTATACAAAATTTTAAATATTTTTAAGTTTCATTAAATGCATTAAAATATTGTAAAAAAAAATAAAAGTTTTGGTGAAAGAATTTAGAATTTTGTATGTTGAGGGTGGGGAGGTAACTGCCCTCTCAGCCTGCGCTGCTAACAGTCTCGCAGCGCTACCCAGCTGGCCCTACTATGAGTGCTTCCGCTCTCCTCTCTCCTCCCAGCAGGCTTCACTGATGCTTGCCCCTTCCCGGGGCCTCCTTGGTGTAACCTTCTGTGAATTTGTTTCCTTCGCAGATTCCCACAGTGCATTACACAAAGTACCTCTGTTTTTCAAACAGTTTCCCAAGGCTTTGCTTAGGTAAACCAGTGCTCTCAAGATACTTTAAATGCCTCCCAAATGCCATAAATCTGTTTTTATCCCCCCCCCCCCCCCCCCCCCCGCCTTTCCATGCTGGGTGACACCTAGGCCTGCCCTTCTGCTGAGCCACACCCTGGCCCTGCATTCTTTGAACGCCGTATCTCAGTCAACAGAGATGATGTTTAAGATGGTGCTGAGCTTGCTGTGGAGCTAATTTAGCAATGTCGGCACTGACAGGTGAGAAGCTGAGAAGCAGTAACCACAGCAACCCCAGGTGTTTCTGCTGGTCTCTGCAGCATGGAGAAGCAATTCCAATGGGTGTCTCAAAGGACTGACTGCGCCCTCACAGGGAGACAAAGGTGGAGGCTTCCCCTCCCTTTAAATATTAGAAAACTGAGCCGGGCAGTGAGGGTGCACACCTTTAATCCCAGCACTAGGGGGGGAGGGAGGCAGGCGGATCTCTGTGAGTTTGAGGCCAGCCTGGTCTACAAGAGCTAGTTCCAGGACAGGCTCCAAAGCTACAGAGAAACCCTGTCTTGAAAAACAAACAAACAAACAAACAAACAAACAAAAAGATTAAAAAACTGAATATTCAAGGAACCAAAAGTCTTGTTCAGTTCTTGGAGAGAAGTCGCAGCTGTCAAAAGCAGCTGATCTCTTAGAGGACCCAAGTTCTGGTCCCAACACTCTCATCACGGGCCTCATGGCCTTCTGCACCTTCAACTCAAGGAATCAGATTCTGTCTTTCTAGCTTCCATGGGCACCTCCACCCATGTGGCATGCGCATAAAGATAAAAATAAATGCCTTTTAAAAATGATAATTGGGGCTTGAGAGACGGCCCAGCAACTAAGAGCACTCTTTCAGAAGACCCTGGTCCAGGGTTTTAGGTCCAACAGCTACATGGTGTCTCATAACCGGCTGTAACTCCAGTTCCAAGGGATCTGATACACTTCACTGGTCTTCCCAGGTACCAGGCATAGTACACAGACATACATATAGGCAAAACATTTATACATGTAAAACATTTTCTTAAAAAAATTAATACAAAATAGAAGACATGAATCTAAAGGAAAGGGAAAGTGATTTTTTTAAATCATTATTTTGGAATATAGGTAACTAATCTTGCCCAGAATGTTTAAAATAAGAAGCTGAGACATTAAAACATACTTAACTCTAGCAGGATAGGAAGAAAATTAAAGAAATGAAAGACAGAAGTAACAGGAACTTAGATGTTTCAGGTTTCCTGAATGAACAGACTATGTGTTATTAATTCCTTACCAAACACACACAAAAAAAAGCTCTTTAATTTCAAGTGGCTTATATCCCTGGAAGTTTTGTGTATTTAGAGTATTACGATTTTCAACAAAATTGAAGGTGCAAGCCTTCCCTAAGCTATTCTCAAAGCCCTTCTTTATCCTCTCTTCAGTATTAAGCAACTGCAGCCTTTTCTGGAGAATACGGTCACATTGCTCTTTATAGAGAGATCAGAACAGCTTCCTGGAGAAATATACGGCTTGTGAATACTGCTGCCAAAGCTTTTAAACTGCCTTGTATCTTTGCAGCGATAAGCATAATTTTCCTTCTAGATAAGAAAAAGCCGAATGGATGACTGGCTCGGTCCTTGAAATGGGTATTTTCCATTTCCAGCAGTACAGTTCGTCAGTGCCTTTCTCAAGGTGGTAGGTAGCGTGAGAAAGTCATTTAACTGGTGTCACCAGCCATAGAGTCCTAGTTCACGGGACTGATGGGGAATAGCAAGCAAAGGTGAGGCTCCTGGAGCTGCCTCTTCAGCCTGTAAGAGACACGTGTGCTCCGCGCTCTGTCCAAGGCCTTGTTCCTGCCAGTCTGAAAGCTCGAAAGCAGACAGAAAGGCACATTTGCATCCCAGGAAGAGGCAAGGGCTGCAGCTGCCATGTTAAGCACTGAGAGAAAAGAAGAGGGCTTGTGGCTGCTGTTTGCCAGACCACTGCTGCAGGAAGGATGCTTTCTCTGAGACCTGAGATGATCCAAACTCTGAAACACCAGGAAATTTCAAATGTCAATCTTAGAGCTAGGAATGCCCAACCAAAATACTTCAAAATATGAAAGATGTCTAGTCTCGCACTTTGAAGGGCATTTCAACCTGAGTTCTTTCATTGCTTTATCTGACCTTTCTGCATCATTCAGCAATAATATTTATTGCTCATCAATTAGGTGTCATAGTTTGATTCTTACGATCCTGGAGATAAGTGCTGGTGCTCCTGTTTTATAGATTAAGAAATTGAGGTTCATTGTAAAGCACATTAATCATTAAGTTTCAACCCTTCTTGGTGCATAAGCCCCGCCTCCTGCCTCTCAGGTGAGTTCTCCATTGTCCCTCTGCAGCATGTAGGTTGTTGACCAGAGACCCCAGCCCCGAAGTAAGAATGTCTGGTTCTGCTGTGCCGTCCTTGGGCATGGTTCAGAGCATGTTTTGAGGATGCTAACATACATATGTCTTCATCATTGAGCCTTCTCTCTTCCATTGAATCCAGGAGCTGCTCACATTGTAGTGACTCACTGGGAACCACTGAGTAGCTCAGTTTAATGTGTCCAAAATGCCCTCTGACCTCATCAGGGGCAGGCTGGACTTCATCCAGAGGCTGCTGTCATTCATTTGGTCTGCTGGAGGTCAGGCCAGTATGCGCTGCCTGGCATTTGGAGTTTCTGTTGTTTTTATGGATATTTGAGTGTCTCGGTTCCCATTGAGGTCTGGGGAGGCTTCTCTCTTGTTGCTGCCGCTTTCAGAAATTCTGGCATCTCCCTCAGTAGAGTCACATTTTCCATCAATTTAATGCTCCTCTTCCCCTGATCAACTAACCAGAAAGCATTTCTGTAATTATGTAGATATAATGATGATTGCGATTAATGTTTATTCATAGTGCTGCGTATAATTCTCATTTTGCCTTTCTATTAACACATCACAATGACAATCATAATTAAATATGATGAACTCAAATTGAACCCTCATCTGCTAAAGTAATCCACCCATATTCTGTCAAGTAAGGGGCTATTTTTGCTGTCTATGTCACTTAGGGCACCTTTCCCCAGAGGTTTACCTTCAAGCTGTCTTATCTGACTGTAGTATGGTTGAGGTGGAAACCACTGGCACTGAATTGTGATAGCCAACTCTTTAGTAGGGTGCCCTGGAGAGGTGGCATGGCCCATGCCAGATGTATCCTCAGGTCCCCGGTGTCTTGAGATGCAACTTGAGAAAGTTGATGAATAATTTTACTTAATGTTGCTCTCATCAGAATAATAAAGAGTTCCCAGAAGTCCAATAACCAAACATCCTCCCTTCATTTCACAAATAGTTGTTGATCATCAGGCCTGACTCACAGTACTAGGATACAGGGACCGGTAAGCCAGCAGTCCCTGATGCCAAAGGGCTCAGCATCCTACCTCTCACAACTCCAGTTCCTAGTGTGCACGTAGATCTTCGTTCATGACCCACTTTTTCCCACCTCTCTGCTGAGGTTTTCCAGCTATTTTTATCAGGGAATCTGGAATGGAAGAGATAAAGGCTTTAGATCAAGTTAAGAGTCATCAAATATAGATTTCAATTCCCAAGTCCAGTGTCACGAAGGGAGTTGTCAGGCAGAAATAAAAGAGGAGTCCTACTGGTCCTTGGAGACCCCAGCCTTCAGAGGTCAAGCTAAGAGAAAACATCCGGGGAGCTGGAGAAAGCTAGACAGTGAAGTGGAGCCAATGAGAACAGGAGTCCCTAATGCAGGAGCCTAAATCCACTGACTACACTCAGCCCAGATCATCTCAGTCCCATCCAGGCCCATGTATTTTATGCTGCACTAAAATCCGCTGAGAATTAGTATACTCATGTCCGTTTAGCTGAAGCCATTGGGATGGAGTCTGCGATCCAGCAGTGTGATCTCTGAACATTGATCCCTGGTCCTGCTGTGTCTGTGGTCTCTAGTATGCTGGCATTTCATCTTTCACATGGAAATTTGGCCTTGCCGATAGAGGAGAGGCCCAAGACTCTGTTTCCTAAGAGTGGTAGGTTGTTTTTCCTCAGAAAACAAATGTTCACCTGGACTTCTGACAAGCGGCGTTGGCTGAGCTGCCGGGCAAGTGTCGTTTTGTCACAGTGGATGTCTTGAGGCTCTGAGATGCTCGTGGAGAAGGATGCCAGGGTCAGAAGACAGTCCAGAATGAGAATGATTTGAGTCTAGTCAGGACAGAGCTTATACAACCCACCTCTAAGGAAAAGACAATAGCAAAAGGTTCAAAGATCTGGGGAGCCTGAGGCTAGACCTTCACTGCTACAGTTCCTGCAAAAGCCTGAGGCTAGACCTTCATTGCCACAGTTCCTGCAAAAGCCTGAGGCTAGACCTTCATTGCCACAGTTCCTGCAAAAGCCTGAGGCTAGACCTTCATTGCCACCGTTCCTGCAAAGCCTGAAGAGTGACTGGTCTGCAGCTAGGACCCAGGGAAGGGATCTTCAGGCGGCAGGGCGGCCTGTAGAACAGCGTTTCTCCAGCTGCTGGTATGACCCCTTGGAACCTCCTCTTTCTACCCATCGTTTGCAGGGAATGGACAAGTTAGTAAATGCCTCTGGGCCTACATCCTCGCTCATGAAAAAGATGCTTTCCTTTGGAACTTCTCACGTTTTTGAGAGATGGATTTTATTCACCATTTTCTTCATGGGCGACAACGTGGGCCCAGAGAATTTACTAGCTTGTCCATTCCCTGCAAACGATGAGTAGAAAGAGGAGGTTCCAGCTTAGACCCAGTCCACTTCACAGCCCCCACTGTGGATCATTACAGCGTTATTAGTTTGAGCCGCCAATGTGCATCCCATAATAATTTGTGTGCTCATGAGTGTCCTGGCCTATTACTGTATTGGCCGAGAACATGTTCCATGCTGGGCACTATCCTACGTGCTTATGTGTAACCCTCCTAACTGGAGTGTAGGACAGCCTTCCCATCATCTAGTGCTAGGGGAGCAGAGGGACTGCGCAGGCCGCCTGACTCCAGAGTCCGTTCTTGTCACCACTGAAACTGACACCTCTTGCTTCATCCATAACGATATGGATCTGTTTGTCAACACTGTGATTTAGTTACTTCTCATGAATTCTTTGGCTTCTAAAGTTCAGGATGCTTTTCAAGCCCTGAATGCATGCCATCTGAGCCTGTTGCCTCATGGGTCACTGCAGCTGTGAGTTCCACAGAAGGCCTGCTATGTGCCACCGCAACCAAGAAAGCAAAGCACACATGCAGATGATTGCACCATGCAGCCAACTACCTGAAGAGCTGCTGGGGAGAAGAAAGCCCTCTGGGGCTATGGGCAACTGGGGTGGGAAAAGGTAGAACAGGCAGTTGGGGCTGGAGAGATGGCTCAGCAGTTAAGAACACTGGCTGCTCTTCCAGAGGACCTGGGTTCAATTCCCAGCGCCAACATGGCAGTTCACAACCATAATTCCAGGGCATGCAAAGCTTCCTTCTTCTGGACTCTGTGGGCAGTGCATGTCTATAGTACACAGACATACTTGCAGGCAACACATGCATACATATAAATAATAAATTTAGAATATTTTATAAATGTATGATAGGTTTTTTTAGAAAGGAAGAAAAGACAGAAAAAGGGCTCTAGGGGGTGGTATGAAGTCACTAGAGTGTGGGACCAGATGGAACGTTTCCTGGCTTTTTTCCCCTAGGAATATTTCTTTTTTGCTGGTGTGTATGGGTGTTTGAATGTGTGTGGACACATATATGTGCTTATGCGTATGTCGTTCATGCTGAGGCCCAAAGTCGACAGCATGTGCCTTCCTCCGTTACTCTCCCATGTTTATTTCATGAGGGAGGGTCTCTCAATTGAACCCAGAACCCATAGATCAGCTAGTCTAGCTGGTCAGCTTGGCCTGGAGAGCCCTTGTCTCTGCCTCCTGAGGGCTGAGGGTAAAAACGTAGGACGCATTATGACAGACCCACACGGTTATTGCTCTCTCAGTTCAAGCAAGAGCTGTGGCTAATGAAATTCAAGTGTGTAAAACCACAAGAGAGACGTGAGATGTGTTCTGTTTCAGACTTGCACACCTACACCCGTGCAGCGTGCACCCTACAAGGGAGACATCGTCACACTGAAATCCAGAGAGCCAGAAGAGGGTGACCCAGCTGGGACCAGGATGCAGGGCTACTCTTCATCCGGCTGATGTGGTCAAGCAAGGACAAAGCAGGCGTTCTGCAGTGAGTATCCGCGTATGATTGTCAGCTTATAAAATAGCAACTGTCTTCTTAGGTCTGTGAAGAGTCCAGAGCTTCAAGGTGGAGGAAACACTGATCAAGGCCTTGATGGCTTAGAACGTTAGGTGGGCAGTGGGACTGACGGGCCTTAAGCTAGCTGTCTCTAGAATATTCCAAAGAAGCCCCAGAGAATCTTCTATAGTGCAAAACCATAGGCGAGTGGCAAGCAGAAAGCCCTGCTTGTTGTACTAAAAGTATGTCCCATGGCCAATATTTAAATACCAACTAGAACTTTATATGGAAAAAAATGAATCTTTGTATTGTAAGTATAGCTAGTTATAGCTTATGATTTAGCATTTATGTAAAATTGAGGAAGTAAGGAAAGTTGCACAACAGTTTTCTGGACATATTTGGTAGCATCAGGGGCTGCTTCTGGAGGAGAGCAGCCCGCACTCTGCAGAGACTGTGAGCACTGGTCACTCCTGCGCTGCCTTCTGCCGTGCGGATATTTCTGTGTTGAAACTCCTCTATTTCCCTTTTCTCCCAGTTTCTCTCCCCTCCGTTGTTTTCTGTTCCTGCTCCATCAAATCGCCACTAAAGGGCAGTGCTGGAGCTTTAGGATTTCCGTGACGTCACTTCCACTGACCTGTAAAATGTACATCCTCCCCTTTGGGTGGTTTTCCAAGAGTCTGATTATTTTCTAAAATTGTGACGTGTGTTTGTATGTTTCAGCTTGTAGCCGTCTGGAAGAGTCTCACACTAGCGGGCGTGTCCAGCCTACACACTGTGGGTCACAGGACAGCCATTAGCACAGCCCAACACACAATCATAAAGCGTTCTTAGAACATTGTGAGATGCTCTTTTGCGGTGGTTTCTTGGTAACTCCATTGTGTGGCTCTCAGTGTAGACTTTACTAATGACAAACGTCCCGGGACAACGTCAGAGGGTCAGACAGTGCTATTGGAAGCTGACCTGACCGATGAAGGAATACGTGTGTGTCAGTTGGAGTGCTGCTGGACAATAGCCTGGTTCTCTACAAACTTGGGTGCTGCGCACACTCACATTTGACAGCCCGTGCTTCCCTAAATCCTGTGGCAGTGGGGATTTGGATAATAAGCCCTGGGACGCTGCAGGCCTGGCCCCCTTGTGCAGTGTGCTCTCTCGTTGTCGGGCATTGTCATTTTTTAACAACACTAGCCCCAAGCTTCAGGACTTCTGTCATTTCCACATTACTGGAATTATTCATGCGATTCAAAAAGACTGTATTTAAAATCCCAGAGATTAGCAGGAGAAAGAAACAGTGCTGGATGGGATCACATGCTAGCTACTCCCAGCTTTTGCGGGAACAGGCTTAGTGTTTACTTTGATTAGAACATTTCTTGGCGGTAGCTTGAACTCGGTCTCTCTTTGTGAGGGAGAATGTTACACTGAGTGCCTTGTACTCTCTTCAAAGGTAGAAGCCGAGCAAAGGCCCCAAGGCCGCCTCCCCACCAGCCGTCAGCCCCTGGCGCAGAGTCTGTTATTTCAACTCCCCGAGATCCTTTAGGAAAAATAATCGCTCTGGGCCGCTTTGATTTTTCTCTCAGAAGCAATAGCCGCCTGCCTCACTGTGCCTTTGTTGCTGAGCGAGATTGAAGCTATAAATGAACGTTCCTGGGATGGGAAGTCCGCGTGAAGACTCGTTGATGAGCCCTTTCAGGTGTCGTCTTTCTTTACACCAGGTTTCTTTCTCTGGGTTTTTAAAGATGACTTTCTGTGTAAGGCTTGGTTGCTGTTCTGTTTTGTTTTAATGGCTGCATTTGTTTGAAACAGCACTATGATTTTTACTTTTGATTGCAATTAATAAACACTGAGAGCTTCATTTTGTATTCCAGTACCTGAGTTGTGTGTGGTTATCTCCTTCTGCCTGGTGGGTGGGACCAGGACCCAGAGGATTGAGTCCGACAAGAAAGCACAATTTCTTCTGTTTTCAGTGCCTCCCATGATAGGTCCCAGGAAATCAAGTCATGTGTTCAACCATGAAATGAGTCCAAGGCAAACTATCCAATCAAATCACATTGATGGGTCCAGGATTTGAAGGATTAAATGGCATTGGTACCACCCGGAGATATGTTGATCCTCCCCATCCCTTTTCTGTGTCTTGGTCCCTTTGTGCATTGAGGTGAGGCTTCTCTTTCTTCTTCTGGGTAGACAGGCCAAGAGGGACGTCTTTGGATGTACCCACACTCTGATGGACATACTAGCCCACTAGAGGACGTGTTTACACCTTTGACAGAGGGCCGTGGGGGGGCTGAGCTGTCATTTGTTCTGAGCACACAGAAGAGAAGATGGTTCGACACACTCAAAGAGAAATCTCCCAGCTCAATTCAACTGCAAATCTTTTCTTCTCAGGATTGATACTGCAAAACATTTTTTTTTCTTCCTGCACTCTGCTTGACAAAGGCAGCTCCACAATAGAACACAGAATCCTCTGCCAGTGAATAAGTCAGTTGCTTTCTTACCCAGAAGTCAATCCTCACGCATCATCGAATGCTCACTTGAAATGTCACCTTCTCCCACAGGCTTTCCAAAGTAGGTTAGGTCCTCTTTGACGCAGCTCCATGGTGAAGCACGTACACCCCATCACCACATCCCATCTCATGCAGTATGCAGTTGCTCCACATCTGTAGGTTCTAACCAACGGGTCAAAAACATCTGGAAAGAAAGAAAGAAAGAAAGAAAGAAAGAAAGAAAGAAAGAAAGGAAGGAAGGAAATGTCTGTACTGACAGGTAGATTTCATTCCCTTGTCATGATTCTCTAAGCAACATGGTATCTCAATCTCTACCCAACATCTACTTCACACCAGGAGGTAAAAGTAATCAGGAGATGGGTTCAGGTATAAGCGAGGGTGAGCACACGTAGTTAATGAGATGCCATTTTATACAAGTACGGTCAGCATCCTCGGATTTGGGGGTCACACTGTCCTGAAGCCAACCCCCCATGCGTACTCTCCAAGGGACAGCTTGAGCTGCTTGCTACACTTCTCCTTTGGAAGCTACAGGGAGGGGCTTGTCTAGCTCCCTGGCACTCCCCCACACCCAGCACAGTGTGTGGTTAGTGATGGCTGAGCAGAGGTCACATTTTAATTTTTAAATAGAAGAGGAAGTGAAATAATTCCTGCTAAGTTCTTCAATTGATGCAGATGAAGATAGAGAACCTTCAATGGGGCAGAAACAACCTCTGTAGTCTTTCCTGCCCAGCTCTTCTGGGGAAGAGGTAAGTGACTACAGAATTCTGCTCCAGCAAAGTCTTTGGATGTACATGTGGCGCTCTCTCTGAATTTTAAAAGTTGCCCCAGTCTGTATTTTACAGATTGAGACCAAGTCCCTTCTCCTTATGAAGTTTGATTGATCTTCCCAAACCTCAGTTTCTTCGTTTACAAAGCAAAGCCAAAAATTTGCCCTCTCGTGGGGTGTCCTGAGGCCTGTGAGACCCAAGCTCTACACAGCAGATGTGACCTCCCATTGTTCCCAAGGTGATAAGTCAACACAGATGTTCTGTCCAGAAAGCCATGGCTGTTTTGTTCTTTCCTGGAAGTTCACCACATTTGGCAGTACCAACCCCTTAGTGCTGTAGAAGAATGGAAGGTGGCACAAGATGAGGCCATGTGGCCATTTTGGAGATGACGGTGGACATGAGGGCCAGGATGTGGACACCATGAGTGGTGTGAACAGAGATACATTTGAAAGTATGGGCATGGACAGATGAAACAGAGAGGAAAGAGAATATCTATCCAATACTGATAGCTACAGAACACTGTAGAACATTCTGGTGGTTTGGGGTCCAACAGCCAGCATCAATCGGCAGGGACCATGGCCAAGGAACTGAGTCACGCTGGAAACAGAACCAGCAGTAGAATCATTGGGGCGCGGTGAAGCAGAGGAGAGTGCACACAAAGCAGTCAGCACAGAGCCGGAAGGCGGTGAGCACCTGGCAAGTTACCCAGCTGATACCATTTTCCCATCACTGCCGAGCCCTGGGAAGAGACTGGAGGAAAGATAGCCTCACCAGACTGGGTTCGTTACCCAGCCATTTTCCCACTGGTTTGGCTTTTGGGGTGCACCCAGCTCTCAACCCTGTTCTTGCAGCCTTTTACACTTCTCTCTCAGCAGTACAGACAAATGAGTTCTGGCCTTCATCTCCCCAAGTTCTGTTTTCTTAAAGGGTTTTCACCACTCTGGGAGGCTTCATACCTTGGGGACAATCTTACCCTAAATAATTTTCTTGTCTCGGGAACTCTTGTTACAAGAAGGCTTGTTTTGCCTTCTGAAGAAACACACAAGCACACCTGCCCCCTCCAATCAGTATTTCTTGCTCTGCACAGTTCTGTGGAGATGACAGAGGTTTACAGCACAGTTGGAAGGTCGGAACACAAGCCTGGGGTAGCTCATAGTAGGAACCCTGCTGAGGGGGCATCTGGGAACACAAGCTTGGGGTAGCTTATAGAAGAAACCCTGCTGAGGGGGCATCTGGGAACACAAGCCTGGGGTAGCTCATAGTAGGAACCCTGCTCAGGGGGCATCTGGGAAGGCCTGACTGGGCTCCCGGAAGTCAAGCAGGCAGTTAAGCTTGTAGGGCTGTGGCTTCAGGATCCACCCTGAGGTGAGAGAAGCCTCTGAGGATAGTCTTGTTGCTTTGTTTCATTTTGATTGTTGGCAATTGTTTAAGTTAGCGTTTCTGTTGCTGTGAAGAGACACCATGACCATAGCAACTCTTATAAAGGGAGACATTTAATTGGGGTGGTTCCCCTACAGTTCAGAGATTCAGCCCATTATCTTCTTGGTGGGACATGGTGACGTTCAGGCAGACATAGTGCTAAAGAAGTAGCTGAAAGTCCTACATCTTGCAGACAACAGAATTAGTCCGTCAGTCACACTGAGCGGAAGTTTGACCAAGAGAGACCTCCCTCAAGCCCGCCCCTACTTCACCAACAAGGCCACACCTCCTTCAACAAGGCTACACCTCCAAATAGTGCCACTTTCTTTGGGGGGCATTTTCTTACAAACCACTGCAGTAACAAAGAACACATGAAGAACTTTTCATTTTCTAGGATCCTAGATTCTGCAAATGTCTCTGGATCTAGAGGCTGAAAGAGAAGGAAGAAACGTCTTGGTGTTTTTGTTTCCTGAGTTCTTGGGTGGATTCTGGCCTACTGTCAACCAGGAAGGACTCATAGGAAGAGTGGCTGATGGTGTCCCAGAGACCTAGCCACAGGAGGCAGAGCCTCCTGCAAAAATATACAAGATGGTGAGGTGACCATTTGGGGACAACGTGGCATCTGTGCTTCTAAGGGTGTGTATTCCGCCTGAGGAACGTCGCTTGCCATCTCTGAACCTCAGTTTCTTGATCTATGAACTTGAGACCATCCACAAGAGTTCCTCTGCTTCCTTGACTGTGTGGCCGAAGGTACCCAAAGAGATGGTGACGTTTGTGCACGGAGCAATGAGAGTGTGTCGAGTGTGCCGCAACGACAACGTGAGCGTCACGCTCAGTCAGCCGCTCTGGAAAATGGAAGTAAGAGAAGACATTGAATGTGAGTGATCAGAAAGCAGTGGGGGAGGGGGGTTAAAAATAGATGAGTGAGCTTACAGTCACACAGAAGGGCCCTTCTGCGAGGAGAGTGGGCAGAAAAGGAAGGTTAGCTGCGGATCCGGGAAGTGGAGGCGTTGCCCACCCCGCAGGAGGAAAGCAGAGCTTTGTTTATTGGTGCACAGAAGCTTGGGGTTGGGGTGACAGCTGATGATGTGGCAGTTTCTGAGTCAGGGTGCTATCCACACTGAGGGTCACATGCCCAAACCAGAGCCAGATGCAAGCACAGCTGAGCCAAGGTCAGGCTAAGCCTAGAAAAAAGAGAGGAGGCTGTGCGTGGGAGGAGCAGCAGGGTGAATAAGATGGACGTTAAAGGCAAGTTCTGTGTGATGAGGCTAGAACATGCAGGCGAGGCTGACCACAAGGGAGGTGTCCTGCCACTGCGCTGGGGGTTAAGGCCAAGAAGACAAGAGTCCTGGGCAAGGCGACAGTGGAGTCTGTTGGCTAGGAAGGAAGCCCAGAAGAGATGATGCTCAGAAGCAGAGCTACAAGGTTTCTCTGGAGTAAGACAAACTCTGCTCCGGATGGCTGGCTCCTCTGTACCCTCCATGCCCAGACCGGCACACAGAAGTCAGGTCTGTCACACGAAGGGCACTCCTAATCATGTTGGAGTGACCTGCCAGCTGGGTGTGGCCAAACTGAAAATGTCCAGTAAACCAGGCCTGCTGGCACAAGCTGGAAACCCCAGTTATTCAGGAGGCTGAGGCAGGAGGATTGTAACTTACTGGAGTCCTACCTCAAAATAAAAGTATAAGCAGTAGGCTAGGAAAGGTAGCTCAGTAGGAGAACATTGCCTAGCATGTGCTAGGCCCTAGGTTCAATCAACCGCAATATTACAAAGAGAAATAAATTAACGATCTAAAAATTATCAGATGGGCTCAGAATTTGAACCTGTTTTGTGACTTTGACAACAATTAGCTTTCTTTCTGGTACCTGATAGTTAACATGGAACATTTCTCTGTCCCTCTTGGCAACCATGGGTCATCTGTCTTGTTCTTTGTCTCGAACTGTGGACTCAAAACATCAATGAACAGCTCCCGTCTTAAAGAGAATAAGAGTTTATTATAGAGCCAAATTTGTATGACCATGGCCATGGTACACAGATTTAGGTTACACCAAATTCCATGTTTCAACACAGAAGAAGTTTCATGAAGGATTATAGTCTTACATAACAAAGAAAGTCATAAATGAAGATAAATAAAATACATCGGCA